AATAAATATATATAAATATATATATATATATATATATATATATATATATATATATATATATATATATATATATATATATATATATATATATATATATATATATATATATATATATATATATATATATATATATATATATTATCCGTTACTTGCGGGAAAATTGCATTTTTCGTCCTCATACTTTACCCACTTTTTCAAAACTGTCCCTAAACATTTTAGAGTTACAATAGTAGTCCTTAATCATGCCATTTTTTGACAGAACTGATCCGCCGTTTATTTTTGCAGTTAAGTTGGATGGAAAATGGCATGTGCCTCTCACATGCCTTCAATATACAACACTACATCAAAATGGACTTTTAACAACACGCATTGCGTCTTGTGAAAACAGATTTTTCATAATTAAAACTTGATTGAAATTCGAAATTATATAAATTCCAAAAAAACAAAATTGATATATATTGTTTTAAATTATTTTGAGAAATATTCTTTAAACAATTGAAACATTGTTTTAAAAAAATGAAATATTGCTTTCAAAATCAAGATTTTCGGATTTCAAATGAAAACATTGTGTCAAAATAAAATAAAAATTCAATCCGAATAGGTGGGATAAGAAACCTCCATTTCAATCTTCGCCCTAATTTAATAATGTAAAACTCGATAAATTATTACAAAATATTTTTAGAAGTATTGTCTAAAATAATAATATAATGTTTTAAAACCGGGATTTCTTGAATCTGAATGAAAATTATTGTTTTAAATAAAATAAACTCTGATCGGAATAGGCAGAGTAAGAAAACTGTTAAGTGTATATTTTTACACTTTATCGTACCTTTTTATTTGAGCTTTTGGTGTGTTTTAACGATAATTGGTGCTTAAAAAGTTGATCTATTGTATTTTAGGTACAAATTGAAGAATTGGAAAAGTATGGGGTCAAAAATGCAATTTTGGAGAAAATATGGGCCAAAAGTGAAAAAATCAAAAATGTGAAGATATATAGCATGGGACGGCCGTCCCAGATTTACACTTAAAACTGGGACGACCGTCGGAGAAGCAGAAACAACAACTGTTTTTGGGACGGCCGTCCGAGTTTTAGTACAAAATTCGAGACGGGCGTCCGAGATGACGAAAAGGCGCATTAAAGGAGTCCTAATTGCACAAGGAAACTACCTTCTTCTCCAAATTTTCCACCCTATATAAGACCAAGACAAGCACACAATTGGGGATCTATCTTTGGACGCAAATTCAAGAGCAAAGAAGATCAACAAAGATTCAAGCATAGTTTTTCTTATTTAATTTATTTATTTTATTTTCTTTATCATAAGAACTACGAGTAGCTAAGTCTTTATTTCTAGGATTTTATTTGGAACCCTATGTGGGATTTATGAACCCAATTCTATGATTTTATGCAAGTTTTAATTCCGGATTATTTCTTCTACTTGTTTTATTAAGTGCATGAACTTGATCAACTTATGTGCTTTTATGTTATTGTTAATCGCATGAATCGGAAGATCGGGTTAATAATTAGAACTGTGGTAGAAGAGCCTTTGTGGTATTAACATAGGAATATAGTTAATCTCTTAGGTAGCCATTATTGAGATTTGTGCTTAATGTTGTGTTCTAGAATTAATTGCATAGGAATATAGTAATTGAATCTAGAGTATTAGAATCGTAATACACGCGGAAGCGGGTTATGATTATTTTAGCATCTCAGGTTAATAATCCGGGTTAATTGCTTGCATAATTGAAGGAATTGGGGGAGTAATAATCACATAGGGGGAAGAATAAAATCCTAGGCTTGTCTACTTTGATTAATCTTCGTGTTTAAATTGCTTTCTTGTTTTTATCTTTTTAATTGCTTTAATTTAGTTTAATTTAGTTAATCTTTTCCAAATTCGACTGTGTAGGGTGGGCTTGAAAACAATTGGTAGAATTTAGCATCTAGGATTAGATAATTAAATATTCTCTGTGGGATCGATACTTGGACTTAAAAAATCCACTTTATTACTTGTACGATACGTGCACTTGCGTGTAGGTTTTCGGCCAACATGTTCTTGGTGCCGTTGCCGGGGAATATTTTAATTATTTATTTTATTCTAGCTCTAAATTTGAACAATTTTCACGATTCACCCAAATTTTTTTATTTTAATTTTTCGTTTTAATTTTTTTTTTAATATTTTTTTTTCTTTGGTTAGATGTCAGGTTACAATATCCGCGCAACTCAAACGGGATATGAATGGCTTCCGTCTGGCGAATACCTCCAAAATACCTATGATATGCCATCAATATGTGGTGGAGATCATTACGCTAACCAATTTGGTATGCACCGAAGGCGAATAATTTCATAGATAATACCAATAGAGGTTATTGGAACACATACACCAACACGTACGAGCAGAGCACTCCAAGCCAAGATTTCCACAATTTTCAACATCGTGAGCCGCAATTTGATGATTTTCAAACCTATTATGCAAAGCCACGAGGACCCACTATTGAGGAGTGTTATAGGAAATCCATCCTTGAAGATTTTATGAAATCCACTCAAGCATCTATCCGAAGATTGGAAATAATGTTGGAAAAGATGAAGCTCAAGAGGTCTCTTGAAAATATTTCAGACAATATCGAGAATGGTTGCAACAAAGAAAATCTGTCTGAAACTTGTAGTGAGAAAAATCCTTTAGACCTAGAAAATAGTGTCGATGAGAGGGAAAAAGAAATTACGAAAACACTTAAGGATGATGAATCTGACAATGCAATCGAGCTCAACTCCAAAGATGTCTCGGAACAAGAGAAGAAGGAGATGGATGTGGTTAGTACAAATACTCAAATTGAGAATATTATCGTTGTTCATGACGTGGATTTGAAGGCATCAATAGAGGTTGAAAAGAAGGCGAATGTGTTTGAAGTGGAGGTTATACGCGGACGTGAGGTTTTTTTGTACCGATTTGAGGGAGCGGGTGATGAAGATCCCAACTTGGCTTCGTACCAATTGATTACAACTAAGAAAGACTACAAGCTAAGGTGGACCCTGACATATTGCAATCATATCCCTGTATCGGTTGCAATTGAAGTGAAAGCGCTCATGAATGGATGTGCAATCTACAAGGCTTTGGATTGGACATAACAATTTTAAGAAGCAAAGTCTGGCTGAAGACTTAAAACTTAGCGCTTCTTGGGAGGCAACCCGAGCTTTACTGTTTTTCATATTTTTCTTTAATTTTATGTTTTATTTTTATTTTTATGGGAATGCATTCTAATGAATTTATTTGATTTCTTATTTTTAAGGTCGGAATTACGATCGGGACGGTCATCCGAGAGATGGAGAGGCATATTCGCACGAAAAAAAAAATCGTATTTCTTTCCCGCCAATTCTCACACCCCGATCACATAGACTCCGACTAAATCAGGTGTTTTCTATCCTTAAACTTTGTGCTAATTTCGTTGAGGGTAACGAAAATTTTAAGTTTGGGGGTGAAAAACATGTTTTTGTGCGTATTTGTTTTAGTTTGCATGCATTAGGTTTTATTTGTTTCTATTGCTTTTATCGTTTTTTCCGGAATATAAAAAAAAAAAAAAAAAATTGCTTGAGTCGAATGCATCGATGATTTATGATGATGAGAGATGATCAATGTTTGATGATGAGATTGCTTGTTTTGTATGATAAGGATTAGATGTTTGTTTAACTTTCGATTCAACGGAACTTAGAAGTGAACTATTACTAGGAATCACACTTTGTGCATTGCTTTGGTTGAATGTTTTGTATTTTAAATTTGGAATTAATTTGTGCTAAATCATGCTATGTTCGGTTTTAGAACTCACCTTAGGAAATTTATGATACAAAGTATTGAGTAGTGAGTGATTTGGGATATGATTTGGGCCTTCTTTGAACCGTTTGAGCCTTTCAAGCCGACCTTTTTATCGAAATTATCCTTAGAACCTTGATTTGAGCTTCGGAGAAAAGGTGTTATTTCTTTTAGCCAAAGTGTATAAGGTAGAAAAGTGGAGATTCTTGAAAAAT